CAAGAGGCTGCTCTTTGTTGAGGATTCGTGATCGGGGAGACGTTTTCTGGTGGTTTCGTGTTCGCAGAAGAGCCTCGTTCCCCCGGCGGGCTCCGACAGGCTTGCTGAGGGCTGCGGTCCCCAGCTGACCGCCGCTAATGGTTCTCCAATCAGAACATTCAGAGAAAGGTTGGTGACTGTCTGTTTCAATGGGCGTGACTTCCAATGGAACTTTGTAGTGGCTGCAAGCTCTGTCCCCATCATAGGGGCTGACTTCCTCTGTGCTCACGGCCTGCTTGTGGACGTTGCAAACAGGCGTTTAATTGATGCTATGTGTTTTTCCTCACTGCCTTGTATAACGCGAGGAGCTGGGTCGTTAGTACATACAAATTTTTTAGCTTCAGAGGACGCTTTCCAGCGTTTATTGTCAGATTTTCCTTCTCTGACTCTCCCCAATTTTTCAAACACCGACACAAAACACGGGATAGAGCATTATATCCCCACAACTGGCGCTCCAGTGTTTGTGCGCGCATGCCGTCTTGACGCGGCAAAGCTGGCTGTTGCGTGGGAGGAGTTTGCCAACATGGAGCGTTTAGGGGTTGTGCAGCGCTCCAACAGCCCCTGGGCGTCACCGTTGCACATGGTACCTAAGTCGGACGGCCAGTGGCGGCCTTGTGGGGATTTCCGTCGTCTAAATAACGTCACAGAGAATGACAGTTATCCTATCCCCCACATCAAGGATTTCTCTGTCCATCTCACCGGGACATCCATTTTTTCTAAAGTGGATTTGGTGCAGGGTTATCACCAGGTTCCCATGAGAGCTGAAGACATTCCTAAAACCGGGGATCACTCCATTTGGCCTGTTTGAGTTTTTACGCATGCCATTCGGCCTTAAAGGGGCAGCTCAAACATTTCAGTGGTTGATGGATTCCATTCTCCGTGGGTTGTCCTTTCTGTTTGTTTATTTTGATGACATCCTTGTGGCCAGCAGCTCGGCCGAACAGCACATGACCCACCTACGTCAGCTGTTCCACCGTTTGGCGGCACATGGCCTAATTATCAACCCGGCAAAATGCCAATTTGGGTTGCCGGTCATTGACTTTTTGGACCACCGCATTTCTGCGAGTGGTGCGGTCCCACTGCCACAAAAAGTTCAGGCGGTGGCCAATTTTCCCTTGCCCCAGACGGTTAAAGCCCTGCAGGAGTTCTTGGGGATGGTTAATTTTTACAACTGCTTTATCCCCAAAGCAGCACAACTTCTGCTGCCGCTTTACGGTGCTCTAAAACAGAAGAAAGCCACCGACAGCATCGAATGGGTTCCTGAACGCCTCCAGGCGTTTGGTGATGCTAAGTCTGCTTTGGCCGATGCTGCTCTTCCGGTCCACCCTTCCCTGTCAGCACAGATAGCATTGACAACTGATGCATCTGACCTCCAGTGTTTGGCAGCCACTTGCTTTTTTCAGCCGTACTTTGCCGGACAATGAACGCAAATACAGCATTTTAGATATTTTCTGGAGGGCCACTCATTTACTGCCTTTGTGGACCACAAGCCCCTCATCTTCACCATGTCCAAAACATCAGACCCCTGGTCCGCACGACAGCAACGCCACCTTGCTGCCATTTCTGAATTCACGACTGACATTCAACATGTTGCCGGCAAGTCCAACTTAGTGGCCGACTGTCTGTCCCGTGCTCTGATCTCCCCAGTTTATGTCGATATCGATTTTTCTGCTATGGCTGCAGAGCAGCGCAGTGATGCAGACATCCTGGCATTACAGTCTGGGTCCACGAGCCTCCAGCTGGAGGAAAGACAGATAGAGGAAGGTGGTCCTCCTCTGATCTGTGATGTCTCTACTGGCTGTCCCCGCCCTCTGGATCCTGTTTCGTGGCGCCGCCGGGTTTTTGACACCTTACACTCCCTCTCACATCCTGACATTAGGGCCTCAGTAAAACTGGTTGGTTCTAAATTCGTTTGGACTGGACTGCGCAAAACAGTTAGAGAATGGGCTGCAGCCTGTGTCCAGTGCCAGCTTGCTAAGGTCCAGAGGCACACTAAAGCACCCTTGGAACTGTTCCCCATCCCTAACAAGCGATTTGATCATGTGCATGTAGAACTTGTGGGTCCCCTTCCTCCATCACAGGGTTTGACACATCTACTGACCATGATCGATCGTACAACCCAGTGGGCGGAAGTGGTACCCCTGTCATCCACGTCAGCAGCGGTGGCCCGGGCTTTTCTGTCCACCTGGGTTGCACGTTTTGGCCCTCCCTCTGACATTACCTCTGACAGGGGCCCACAGTTCGTTTCAGAGCTGTGGTCCGTCATGGCCGATGGTCTGGGGGTCAAGATCCACCGCACCACTGCATACAATCCGCAGGCTAATGGGTTGTGTGAGCGGTTCCACAGGTCATTGAAAGCTGCGCTCCGTGCTTCTTTGACTGATGGGAACTGGGTTGACCGCCCTCCATGGGTCATGCTTGGTTTGCCTTCAGCTGTTAAGGAGGACCTTGACGCTTCCACAGCTGAACTGGTTTTCGGTCAGCCCCTGCGTGTCCCTGGGGCATTTTTACCTGATTCGCCTACGCCACAGTTCAGTCCACTTGGGCAACGTTTTTTCCCTCAGGGAGACTCCTTTCGTGCCCTGTTCATCATTGTTTGCCCCAGTCTTTTGTTCCTGAGAACTTAGAGACCTCTAAATTTGTTTTTGTTCGACACGATGCACACAGATCACCCCTACGACCTATGCATGATGGCTGTTTCAGGGTCCTTGAACCAGGGCCTGAACATTTTCTTTTGGATTCAGGAGGGCATAAGGAAACTATCTGTATTGATAGGCTCAAACCTGCTCATGTCCTGGCGGACAATCAGGTGGTAACGGCCCAAGCTCCTCGCAGGGGAAGACCCCCCTCCACTATTTTAATGGACCGCTGTTCTCCCTCCAGAGATCCTCATCTATCGGAGCTCAATTCCCCTGCAGCCCCTCCGTGTCGCCCTCGTCCTAAGGCACGGATGTCCCAGGACCATCCTACAGGTTCCAAGTTCAGCTGTTTTGGACGTTTGATGAAACAAAAGGATCTGGATTAGTTTTTTTGTTTTTTTACCCTACTGAGTGTTCGAGGGGGGCATATGTGGCGGATCACTAGGGGGCTCCACTCTCACTCAGTGGAGAGGTTGCAGTTATGTTTGTTCGGATGTGTATATATATGGATTTTCTGCACAGTTGCTCTCAGTTGGAGTAGAGTAAAGAACTGTTTAAACCTGCCTGCTTTGTGTCGTCATCTTCACTCCTCCACAATATGATCTCTCTTTTTAATTTTCATCAAAACTTCTGCTGCAGCATTTTGGATCAGCTGAAGGCTTCTAACTACAGTTTGTGGACTTCCTGATAGTAAAGAATTACAATAGTCCAGCCTTAAAGTAACAAATGTATGGACTCGTTTCTCAGCATCACCCGTAGACAGAATATTTCTAATTTTTGCAATAATTTTTCATAATTTTTCCGCAGATAAAATAAGAATATTCTAGAAATCTCTTTGCTATAGGATTTCAATGCCAGGTCTTGATCAAAAATAACACCAAGATTTTTTTACTTTATTATCTGAGATCAATTTAATCCCACCCAAATGAAGTGACTGACTAATCAGCTTCTTTTTCAAAGACTCTGATCCAAAGACTATAACGTTTGTTTTGTCTGCATTCAGGAGCAGAAAGTTAAGAGTCATTCACATTTTTATGTCTTCAACACATGTTATGTGTCAGCTTATTTGGATTTGTAGACAGATACAGCTGAGTATCATCAACATAACAGTGGAAATTAATCTCATGCTGTATTAAAACTTTTTATTGAAACTTTCCTTTTTGAGAAAGCTTATAGTTAGTGTGGCTCAGGTTATTTGAGGGATTGCTTTTGAGTCAATGAGTTGATACAATCAGCTTGTTTTCCTTAAATAGAAAACTTTCAACAAATCTGATTGCATGATCTGGGTGAATTGTCTCTATAAAGTGCCTTGAGAGCACATGTGTTGTGCATTGGCGGTATATAAATAAACTAAATTGAAATGTATTGAGATATAAAATTGAAATAAATTATTATTATTTTTTTATTTAATTAAAAATTTATATATATATATATATATATATATATATAT